AGTCAAGGCATTTGTAGCAAACAGATTTGGATTCTCTGTAAGGAAGGGCTTTTGTTAGACTATAAGAAATAGGCTGCCTCTGAGGGTAGAAAGTTTCCTGTTGTTGGAGGTGTTCATTTAACTCAACACTAAGCGCTTACCATTGGGCAGGCTCTGTTCCAGACACTGGGATACAAAGAGGGATGAGAAGGGGCCCCTTTACTCACAGAACTTACAGCCTTGCAGATGCAATAGGGATTCAAGTATCACTTTGTTTCAATTCAACAGACTTTTATTGCTTACTGTCTACCAGACTCGATGCTAAAGATTATTTTCAACTCTAAGATTTTTGGTCACGTCCTATTTTTTATTTTCAAGATCAATAGCAATCACTAAATTAGTAGCATGTGCAAAATATCCTTTAATTTGGGAGGAACTGGAGATTGTTATGTTTATGCCTAGAGAGGAGAGGGGCACGTCTATGGAATGCCAGAGCTCTTCCTTCCCGTATCATAACCACTTGGACTTTCTCTTATTTTCTTGCCATCAGCTGCAGAGATCTGTGGTGGCATCAGGTGAAAAGCAGCTACCAGTGGAGTACCGCATTAGCAAAAGGTAAGAGGGGGCTTCCTTGTCAAGAGCTCTGGTCATACCTGCCGCCTGCCCTCCGGCCAGTGGCATAGCAGACGAGGGCCAGCAGCAGACCTTCAGGTGCCATCAGAGATGCCGCCGGAGAACCTGCAGTTCATGTTTATATCTGCACATTCTTGTTAAGTGGGAGAAATTTCCATTCCTCTCACCCAAAGACCTTTCACAGGTTGTTAAATGGTCCGAGGACTTAACTAGGAGGCCATTAGGGAAACACTTGAGAAAGCTCCCATGCCCTAACCAAAAAAAATAAGCACGTAGTTGTTCTAACCAGGGTTGCTTTTTCAGAAAATACAGTCCCATTTGTAATTTGACTTTCCAGGATTCCATTCCCACCTCCTGGCTCATATTTGAAGCATGACTTGCCAGCATTCAGGCAGGAAGGATGCCTAGAATCTCTGGACATGAAGGCTTCTGTAGAGGGGCAATTCAGCTGTCAGAGCCCAGCTGGGTCCCCTCCCTCCACTCCTGTCCCCCTCCCCACTGCAGCAATTTATTTGCACTGTAAGGACAGGACTGATGATACAGCAAGAGGAGGGTCCCCATCACAGTCCTGGAAGATGAGATGGCATATCCTTGGGGAGAGGCCAGAACTCAGGCTGGGTGGGTAGTTTTTGGTGTCTGGGAAGTGAGGTGAGTGATGAAAGCTTTAATCCAGGGTAATCTGACTTAACTTATTTGGTCTGGTCCATTGAGGGGTCTTTTATATTAGGAGTTATCCTCTAAGCTTTGGAAGATACATATGATCTCAGCTTCATTGCTTTTCTAACCTTTCTGACATTCTAGTGTCAAAGAGAAAATTAACCTTTTAGGGCAGTAGGTTCTCTTTACTTTTCATGTAAAGAAACTGAGACATTCATTACTTCTCTTCCTTCCCATCACTCTGCCCCCCTTTGAATTTTAGTTCTGTCCTCATAGCTTCACTGTAACTGGTCTTTCAAAGGTCACCACTGGCTTTGCTTGGGAAGCACTTCCTCACTTTCCTGGGACCTACGTTCTGATCCCAAATCCTTGACTTTTTCAGAACCTCAACAAGACATTCAGGAAAAGAGACTGAACTTTGCTCTTTGGTCTTCGACTTATCATGGCTTGTGGTGGAGTGGAGCAGAAGAGCAGAGATTTTTCTGTGTTTTACTACAATCACTCACAGCTTACAAATCATTTTCATATGCATCGACTCTCCCAGTCTTCTTAAGTCTGTGAAGTAGATATGAGCATCCCCATTGTATAGATGAGTACAGTGAGCCTTAGAGAGGTTAAAAGTTAAGTGCCTGAATAAGATCATACAGAGGATCAGGGACTGCTCCTACTACTTTGAATCCAAAGCTTTTCCCATTGCCCACAGCTGTTGACATGTCTCTAAAACATAGCAGGGTGTTTTTTAAAAATCCTCCCCCAAGGATATTTTTCCATTGATTTTTTTAGGGGAGTGGAAGGGAGGGAAGAAGGAGAGAGAGAGAGAGAGAGAAACATCGATGTGAGAGAGACATAGATTGATTGCCTCCCGCACGAGGGTTGGAGCCTGCAACCAAGGTATGTGCCCTTGATCAGGAATCTAACCCACAGCCCTCCGGTCCGATGGCCGACGCTCTAACCAATGAGCCAAACCGGCCAGGGCTAAAATGGCAGTTTTAAAGACAGGGTTTTTTGTCTTTTTCCTCTTTGCATCCCAGTGCTTTGAGCCGTCACTCTTCACAGCACCTAGCAGAGGGCCTGGCATTCAGTGAGTGTTGGAGGATGTTTGTTGCATGAATGAATGTGTGAGTGTTGAGATGGAGCATGACATGGCCTGGGCATACTTAGCATGAGGAGTGAGTAGGAAATTAGGCATCCGTGTCTATCTTCCTGTATTCCCTTTCTTCCTTCCTCTGGCAGTTGACATCTTTCATTCATTCATTCATTCATTCATTCATTCATTCACAGATATTTAATCATTTCTGGCATCAGATCCTTAATGCTCCAATCTATGATTTGCTTTAGTGCCTGGCTGAAGGACACCGTTGACCCAATGCTGGTGACCCTTGACCATCGCATTGCGGCCCTCACAGGCCTTGATGTCCAGTCTCCCTACGCAGAGTATCTCCAGGTGGTGAACTATGGAATTGGAGGGCACTATGAGCCTCACTTTGACCATGCTACGGTAACTATGCACTCAGTGACCAATCTCCCGGGGTGAGGAACCCGAGTGTTACTTATTTCTCTGAGGCAGAGCTCTTATAGGACTCCCATGGACTTCTAAGTGAAGTCTCAGAATAAAGGTTCTTGTTCCAGGAAGATCTGAAAGCCTTGGTTTCAAGCTGTTTTCTGATGACTCATTTTCTTATGTGCCACCATCCCCTTCTCCATAAGTTGCTAGTGGGGGGAAGAATGTGGCCTGTCACAGTTTTCTATCTTGCTTCACTCAGGGACTTCCCAGGGAAGATTGTCCTTCCTCCAGTGGTTTTCTTTATCTGTATATTTTTATGACTCTATCATATGAAATTTCTAGGCAAAACTAAAGAGACAGAAAGTAGATCAGTGGTTGTCCGATATTGAGGGTGGGAGTGAGGATTGACTGCAAACAGGCAACTTCTCTTTCAGTTGATGTAAGTGTTCTAAAGTTGGGTCGGTGGGATGGTTGCACAACTGTTAAAAATGTACTAAAACTCATTGAACGGTACACTTACACTGGGTGAATTTTATCATGTGTAAATTATATTTCAGACTGTTCTATGACAAAAAAGGGTGTGTCTCTTCAACAAATAATTGGGAACTCTAGTCTTATGACTTGGTATTACTACAAAATAATTATCTATAATGTTTTATATATTAATTTCTTTATTTCACCAAGACCCTAACGTGCAATTAACCCCTCATACAGTACTTTCACTACTGGCAAGGAATTCTGTTATATGAGTGTCTAACAAATTAGTAATAAAAAAGTATATTGAGTACCGAAAAGCACAGATGGGCACAAATTCGACTAAGTGTAGCTCAAGACTATATCCCACCTGTGACACCCCCATTTTTCTCCTCTCTGTATTATGGTGGAATCTGGTGCCAACTACATAAAATAATATGTTTTATTTTTGTCTCAGTCACCAAGCAGCCCACTGTACAGAATGAAGTCTGGGAACCGAGTGGCAACATTTATGATCTATGTGAGTCTTGCTCTGAACCAGGGCTTCTTACTTAATGACTATTTATGTCTCTCTCTTATTTTATGGTTTTCAAAGCAATTTCAGATGTTGATTTTATCTGCTACTCACAGCTGAGAAGTCTCCAGGATTTTTGTGAATTTCAGACATTTTTTGTTAAGCACTATAGGAGATACAAAGAAGTACAAAGCAAGACAAAAATCTTCATATTAAAAAAACACATCCATAACTCTAGAATATACCGGTGGTGAAATGCCTTAGCTGTTACCTAGAGAGGAACTGAGTGACCTGGGAAAAATGCAGTCCGTAGTTTCTATGATGCCCAACTTTCAAAACTAATCATTGTAGTCTAAACAATGTTTGTGAGCCACAGCCCATGATCCATAGTGGGCTATGAAATACATTTAAGAATTCTGAACTAGAATAGAATAAAATTAAATCAAAAATAACAGAGGGATCTTATGTAGTAAGAATGTGTTATGAAACATGTATTTTATTTCAGGGTGTGTGTGTGTCTTGGTTGTGATATAAACTATGTTTCTTCCTGAGGATCTCAAAGTCTGAATCTACTTATTGCAGCCCTGGATCAGGATGTTAGCTGGAAGGGTAAAAAAAGGGAAAATTCCTAAATGTTGTCCTCTTGTGGTCCTGCAGGCAGACACTGAGGCCATTGAGCAGGATCCCTTCTTAAACTGGATGATTATCTTTCAATAAGTATTCCTCTGGGTTGAAATAGGAGAACACAGGAGGGAATCTATGCAGAAATGACATCAGAGGTCAAGCAGGGCCGAGTAGGGCAGTCGGGCTATTTCAACTCTGGCTCTTCCTCTGGTGTTTTAGCTGAGCTCGGTGGAAGCTGGAGGAGCTACAGCCTTCATCTATGCCAACTTCAGTGTGCCTGTGGTCAAGGTGAGTGGGGGTCTGGTCCCAACAGATGGTTGTAAGGTAAAGAACTAACATTCTAGCTTTCATGCTGTTTGTGCTCACAAGCTTATTCCTGGGAGGGCGTGGTGTGGTGGTGGTAAGAAGAGGTCTTTCCCTGATTCCCAGAATCAAAGATAATCCCTCAATCTTCTTGATGACCCCATATTATTGTGCCTCTATTTTTATTTTTTTTACACTTATATTACAAGTAGATGATTACATGCCTGCCTTCCCTATTACAATAGAACATAAAATAGAATTGTTTTTATCAACCTTCAGATCCTCCTGCAACTGGTCCCCTCAGTCATTCGTTCAGAAAACACTGAGGGCTGGAGGCACTGAGGGTACTGAGGAAAACAGTCCTTGTCCTCCAGGAGCTCAGAGAGGGTAACAGACAGTAACAAGGTAGGGCAAGAGACCTGTGAAATCATGAGGCACAGAGAAGGGCCATGTGGCAAGGTTTGTTTAATGAATGAATATTTCCCAACAATTTCAGATCAATCAATTAATCAGGGATGGCAGCCCTTATTGAATTCAGGAATGAAATGAGGAAAAATAAATGCGATCATGCCCATGAAGCACTTTCCACAGTGCCCGGCACATCCCAAGCATTCATTAAGTAAATGCAGGTCCCTATGAATACTCGGGATTGGCCAAAGTTAAAGTAAGTCTATAGGAAGTTTAGAGGGGGAAAAGCTGGGTATGGAGGAAGAACATGTACGACTTAGAGTCAAAACACTGGGGTTTGAGTCTTGACCGTGGTGGTCCTTCTTAGTTGCATTATCTGAAGCCCCTAAGCCTCAACTTCCTTGCTGGCAAATTGGGGAGTGCGATGATGCTGGCTTCCTGGGGATGTTACTAGTGAGTGCCTAAGGAAGGGTAAGCATCTAGATTAATTAAGTTCTTAGTTGTATGGGGAATGTTTATTCCACCTTGTGGGTTTTTGTAGAGTACATCTCAGTGATTCAGTGACATCCTGTGCTCACCTTTCTCCTAGCACTTGTCACACTGTCCTGTCCCAGTCTGCCTTTATATTGGTCTGTCCTAAAAGACTGTGAGCTCCTGAGAGCAGAATTGGACATGATTTGTCTCTGCATCCTCAAGGCCTGGAGCAGGTTAGGCCCTCAATAAATGACGAATGCATGAATGAATGAGTAGAAAGCAACTTACACCACTTTGTGTCATTTTTATGTGAGCCATGCCCCCAGTCTGCGCAGCTTTCTAGTAATGGCATGCATGCATTCGTTCTCAGTCATGTGCTTCCCAAGAAAGGAGATTCTGGATTGAACTGCCCCCTCCCTGGGCTGGGGCCCTTTTGTTTTCAGAATGCTGCACTATTTTGGTGGAACCTGCATAGGAGCGGCGAAGGGGATGATGACACACTTCATGCTGGCTGTCCTGTCCTGGTGGGAGATAAGTGGGGTAAGGCCTGCCTTTCTGAGTGTGAGAATGGGGTGAGGGGCTCATAGTAGAGTGAAACAGGGGCAGATGGAACATAGCATAGCCCTCTCATACCAAAAGCTTCATCATGGTGCCACATGATAGTGAATTGATCAGACTCCCAGGTAGTTTCCCCCAACAAACTGGCAGCCCACAAAGGGCAGGGATCCTGTCACAGAGCAAGTGTCAGTAAAAGGTTATTGACCTGACCAGACAGGCCTGGATTCCTGAGTCCCACTGAGGAGGCAGATGGTGCTGAGTCCCAGTCCTGTATCCCAGGGAGAGAACCATCCAGTGCCTCCCCATGAGGAGATGGAACAAGGAAGAGATAAACAAGTAGGGGACTTGTTTATGTCACCTGTGTGTCCAAGAGCACTTACCTCTGAAGACAGAAAAGTAGGAGAGTGACTCTCATGCTGAGATGGACATTTCAGGAAAGACCACCCCTTTTCTCTCATTACTCTGGAGCAGCACCATGGGGGAGGCGGGCTCTTAGGAGCTACATGAATGAAAGTGAGTGACCTTAGGTTTGAAAATTAGTCTACAGTGGACAGGATCTGTCAGGGATTTTTTCCAGAGGACAGTGTCCTCTTTGCTGTTTATCTCTGCTAGAAGCAACATCTTGTAGTCCATAGCAGGACTGGGACTGAGGTCAGGAAGTGAGTTGCTTGGGTACAGAATCTAAGGAGGCCCCCGCACGACCCCGCGGTGAGCCCTGCCACTGTCCGCTCTGCTGAGCGCGCCCTCTTCTGCCTCCCCAATCTTCCCCAGTGGCCAACAAGTGGATACATGAGTACGGACAGGAATTCCGTAGACGCTGCAGCTCAAGCCCTGAAGACTAACATGCTGGCAGAGAGAAGTTGATGGAGTCCTGTCGCTTTCCAGAGAAGCCAGAAGCCAAAAGCTGGGGATTGGAGAGGAAAAAGGAGAACATCCTTCTGCAAGAGGGCCTAGTCAGCACTGTGTTCCTTGCAAATAAGAGGCACGGAAGTGGTGTTTACCAGGGAGCACCTGAGAATTCACTGAGAAACCATTCACATTGTTTCTCCTCCAAGCATGAATGACAGTAGAATGGACAATACAAAGGACGAGGCAAGAAGGCTGGAGAGAGACATTTCTGGAGATCAGGGACTCTCTCTTGGGAACAGGACATATCAGCAGGCTCTGGGGTTTTCAGTGGGGGCATTTGCCATTTTGAACCTTGACACCAGGGGTCCAGAAGTGCAGTGAGGACACCTGCAGGAGGGGCTGGCCCGGCTCCCACGGCTTTTTACCCTTCAGCCCACTGACTTGTGCTGAAGACTAAGCAAGCAGTATCTCCGTATCAGGAGTGTACTTCATATGATAATTCTTTAAAACAGAAAGGAGCTTTTCTTGTATGTTGATTTTTAAATACAGCCACTAAAATGTTTACAAATCATTTTTCACACAGAATATTCTTACATTATAACACTGAGTGAAAAAAGCAGAGTGTAAAATTTTATTTCTGCCATAATCTCAACTTGGCTCACCTCCCACCACTCCCCTCTCACTCCATTCGAGACACATGACGTTCTTTCTATTCCTCGAAACCACCATGCCCTTCGCCCTCAACACCGTCCCCCCTTTCCAAGGCCTCTGTATTTGCTGCTTCCTCAACTCCTCCTTGGCCAAGCTCTTCTCATCATTTCACTCTTGGCTCAGTCCAGCCTTCCAGCCAGTTCCCTTCACATGAACTGATTTTTATTTTCTTTATAACACGTTTCTTGAATTGAAATTACTTGATTCATTTGTTTAATTGTGGCCAGTTGCTTTCCCTGCAGGGTGAATGCTTTAAGACCCCACTGTATTTTGTAAATGCCTCTATTATAGCTCCCATCCCACTGAATTTCAGTATTTGTTTACTTGCCTGGCTGTTTACATTAGACTCTGGGCTCCATATTTCTCTTGGTATCCCCCAGAGGAAGGTCTGGCTTGAAATAAGTAGGCATTCAGCAAGTATTTTTGGATAAGTGAGTAAGAAGGCATCCTTTGAGCTGTGCTTTGGGGGACAGGTAGAATTTTTACAGGCAGAGTCGTAATGAGAAGCATTTCCCTGCAAAAGGACAAGATGAGCTGAGGCTGCATTGATGAGTGACTAGTATTTGAGCATTTGTGCACAGGGAACAGTCCAGGCAACTCTGCTCAGATTCCTCAACAGGGGCAGGGGTATGTGTCTTGCACACAAAGAAGCCACACAGTTAAATAACTGCATGGTTAGACGCAGTGCTGCCTCCACCCCCAACCTGCACCTCGCACTTCAGGATTGCTGCTCCCCAGAGCTCTGTGGCCCCCAAGGCCAGGGTTCTGATGTGCTGATAGCCAGCTTCCTGCAGAGCCTTGGTGAGTGCCTGATCACATCCCGGTATTTCTGCCGTGTGTGCCTGGATTCTGGAAACTGTCTTACTAAGTTATTCTCATGTAGGGGAGGAAAAATAATTTCCCCCCTACCCTTCTCTGTTCTTAGCTGAGACCTCTGTAATTAGCGACAATTACAAATGTATTTGCACTGTTAGCCCCATTTGTTTTTGTTTGTTTGTTTGTTTGTTTGTTTTTTTGAGGGAGAGGAGAGGAAGATTTTTGGTTTTTATTGAAGATGGTTTATGGAAGAATGAGAGAAAGCCAAGAAGAAAGAAAGTGGAACAGCCCCGTTTAAAGACAGGTTCCTGCTGTTTGAGCTGGAGCGTCAGGGGCAGGAAGGGGAGGCAAATAGAAGTTTTTTAACATGTATATATCATGTATACATGGGAGACACTCAGGGAAAAGTTAGTAGCTCCCTAAGGTGTTGAGAATTCAAGCTTAAATACCATCCTAATAGGGACAGTAGAGGATGTAGGCCTCCTTAGGAAAGATGAATGGGCACTTAGAAGCACAGGTGGGAGGGAGGCATGAGAGTTTTTGATAGTTTGTCTGGGTGCGGCATCCACTTCTAGTCTCCTCTCCTGTGATGAGTCCATTTTTCCTGGTTGATGAAACTCCTAGGGAGAGGTTCATGACAACTGAGTTCCTCTTGGAGGACCTGTCTTTAGGAAAATAAGCAGAGTTCAGAGAAAGCCTCCCCCTGCATTTGCTGTTTTTCAAATGCGTAGAGCTCAAAATAATCAATATGCCAAAGCAGCATATGTGGCACATTCTGCTACCTTCAGTCACATACTGACAACCTGCCTCCTCCAGCTCCAGAGGAACAGGCCTGAGACAGAAAGCTGTCTGTGGGCCACACTGCTCCCCTTTCTTCACAGCTGCAGGGATCAGAGCTGGGCCGTCTCAGAACTGTGGGGTGGGTCTGAGCTAATAACAGCAGTGGTGAACTTCTTGAGTTTCCCATGTGACAGGCACCTTTCTAAGGGCTCACATGAGTTAATGAAACTCTAAGGGCTCTGTGAGTTAATGCTCATCCCAACCCTACGAGGTCGATCAGGTATTATCCCCATTTTACAGAAAAGAAGGCAGAGTTAGAGGGTTAGGTGACTTGCGATGATCTCACAGTCTGGCTCCAAACCTTGTGCTTTGAACCACTACTCTTGCACTAAGAGATGTCAGTTTTCAAACATCTTGACCAGGTGACTGAGATCCAAGAATTGTCTGGCTGCAAATGAAACAACAGCGGCTTACTGAGCACTCCCCAGGGGCAGGCCCAGGCCCAGGCCCAGGCCCAGGTGTGCTGTGGGGGTGAGAGGTGCAGGATACAGTCGGCTAGTAGGGAGATGAGACAGATTCATCCCAAGTTAAATTTTAGTTAAGCACAATACGAAAATGCTGCGTGCAATAAGACCTGAATTATTGAATGCTGCAATCAAGAGCTGAAGTTGGGATAGCCTCAATTGTTTATTCACATAACATTACCAAGGTGTGAACCCCGTGCCAGGCCTTTTGGGACATCAGGAATGGAAAGGAGAATTCTACACTAACCCTGCCCAGACCCAGACCCTGCCCAGATCATCACAAGACAATGTAGCCATAGGTGGAGACAGGACCAGAGCACTGACAGGCCCCCAGAGGCTTCATGGTAAGGAGAGACTGACCAAGTTTTGATGAAATGGGGGCAGTCCTGGGAAGGGTTTGTAGAGCAGCAGTAGGAGGAGCAGGGTGGGGAGGAATGACTCTCCCTAGAGCTACAAATAGTATCACCTTACTTTTGGCCAGCACGTTATTTTCAAAAACACTTTAGCATCCCTTCCTTTGAACCTCACCTACCCAAGGAGGAAGGCCAGCAGCATGGTAGAAAGCAAGGTCTGGAATGGTTAGTGGCATGTCTGGGGTGGCAGTAGAGCTTGGCCTGAGGCCTAGTCTTTTTTCTCCCTCACCAGTGCTCTTTCCACTCGATGGCTTTCGAAGCTATGTCCCTCCATTGCACCAGAGCTGGAGAGTGGGAAGGCCTTGTTCTGTTATATCTGCACAAGTTTCCATGCCCTCAGAAACTGACTAGTCCTGCAGCAAAGTGGTGTGGCTGATAGGTCCCAACAACACTTAGTGTGTAGGTAGCTAATTATAAATAGGACTGACCATGGCTTGGGGCATAGGTTATTTATAATTTTGCTTCTTTCTTTCTTGCACTGTGCTTCAACTGTTTTTCTAACAGCTTCATCCAACCTGGGCTCCTGGCATTGCATTATATATCCCTCCCAAGCTTCACTCCAGGGAATGTTCTTTACATTAATGACCACTATCATTGTCCTCAGTAAGTAACCACATAGCACCCATTTACTACAGCCCAAGCACTGTGCTAAGAACTTTGTTTCCTTCAGTCCTCACATTGAGATAGGCACTATTATCCTCATTTGACAGATAAGAAAAACTTTCCTGAGGTTACATAGCTATAAAGTGACAGAGAAAGGAATAAAAATCCAGGTCTGTCTCCAAACATCTTAACTAGCCCTCTGTTGTCTGTATTGCATGATATTTTGCTATGGTTGCTTTGCTCTCACTGGCAATATCTTTGGGTGCCAACACTTTTTGAGAGGAGTCTCTAACATTTCCCAGGCTTTGGAAAGGTCTATCCTTTGTGCCTCTAATGCCTAATGGCTAGGAACCCTGTCAGATGTAGGTATTTGTTGAATGCACAGGTGAATCACCTCAATCCCACAGATGTACAATGAACACCTGTTGTGTCACAAGCCCCATGCTGGATACTCCATGAGAATCCAAGAAAATGAGGTCTGCTCACTGCCCTTAAGGCAAAATTAGCACACGCCCAAGTGGAATAGAGAATTAGATATAATCAAGTGGAAAGCTATGGGGTGCTCACCCTAAGGATCATGGGAGCTGGGAGAAAAGGGAGAAAGAACCCTATGGCTAGAGTGAACTGAGGGCTTCTGTGTTGGGGCCTCAGGAACACAATAGAAAGAGTGAGAATGTGTGCCTGTGGAGGGCAGGGAGGAGCTGTCACCTCACTTGTCCCTTTTCACACACGAGGGGGCAGGAAGAGCTGTCTAGGAGGTGAGAGGGTGTTGATTCTGGGGGGCCCTTGTCCAGCAATGCCAAGGGCGTCCAGCACAGACTGCCCTTTCATGGAACCACTGAAAGAGTTCCCTGTTTGGGGGTGTTGGCTTCTCAAGCTGGGAGAATCCAAGGTGGGGGAGGGGAAAGGGGGACTTTGCCTGCAGAGTGCTGCACACTCTGGCAAAACTGTAAAATCAGCCAAGGGCCAGGGGAGGAGACAAACCATTGTACCTACTCTGTGCCAGCTATTTCATCTCCCTTGTCTCATTCACCGGTATTCCTTTTGGCAAGGGAGGAAAAGAGGCTCGATGAAAAGACCTCCCTAAATTCACACAGCTAGAGGCAGAGCCAGATGCTGAGCTAGGGGGTCTCCCCTACCAGCTGCTTCTAACCTCTCTCTCTCTGGACCTTTCTCTCTCTCTCTCTTAGGATCCCCACAACTTTCTCTCCCTTAGGAAGTAGAGCCTGTTTCTTTCCCTTCTTCCTCTCTGCCCCATCCCTCTTTTAGTCCCTTTCTTGGTCACATGACCTTCCCCATCAAATGCTTGAAAGGCCTATTCCTCCTCAGATCTGAGTGACAGAGGGTCCCTCTGTCCCTGCCATACTTGCATTTGAGATGGGTAGCCCCTGGTGAAATCAAAGATTTTCTCAAAGGAGTGAGGTGTTAAGGCTTTAAGGGCATGACTCAGATGGATCCCCAAAGATAATGACCTTCTCTTTCTTCTTTAAAGTTCATCACATTTCAAATGGAACATAACTAAAATAATGATCGTGATGCCTCCTGTTCATCTGCTTATCATCCTATGGGGCTAGAGGGCAGCAGCTGTTTTCCCTGGCCCCGAAAGGTGAAGTGACTGGTCTACAGATACAGTGTGTCGGTGTCAGAGCCAAAACCGGAAGGCAGATTTCCAGGCTCAGAGGCCCATCCCGAAGCTCCATAGGTGCCTCTTGGGTCAGGGGAACATGGGCAGGTGATGGTACCAACACTTGATGGTGTTTTCATGGGCATAGATTTTATGTGTGGTCTTCACTCATTCATTCAACTAAGCATTACCGAATGTTGAGTCTGTGCCAGGCCCCTTTGCTGGGGCAGCAGATGCTGGGATGACTCTGAGTCTCTGTCCTTGAAGAACTCCCAGAGGAGAAAACCCCTATGATGACAATACTTGTGGAAGGGGGATATGTGACATGTTACAAAAGTCTGGAAGGGGCATCACTACGTCTCTGGTGTGATGGGTCCCTATGACATTTGATTTGGGCCTTGAAGGGTAAAGAAGTGTGTGTGTGTGTGTGTGTGTGTGTGTGTGTGTGTGTGCGCGCGCACGCATGTGTGTGTTATGGAGATGAGGGAGTTTATCTCGCTAACTCACAAGTATATGATGAGTCCTTAGATTAATGTTTCTCAAACTAAGAAAATCCATACCTTTTTCTTTTGATGAACTTAAAAATTTCTTTAGTTTTGGAAATTCAGATATATCATCCCAGGAGAGAAGATTTTATCTAACTTTATGTTCTATAATCTGTTTGAGAGAAGAAGAAAAAAGATTTTTTCCCTTTACCAAATCAAAAATTATATTAAATACTCTTTTGAAAATTACACATGGCCCCCGATGGGGCCTCATCAGCCTAGAAACTCCCACAGTGCTCTCCAGGTTCTAGGGCTCTGGAATCTCTATTTTTTATTCTCTTGCAACAAAAAAAGAAACAGGAATTGTCAGCTGCTCACCCTGGAGGAGCAAGGTTATCTATCCTGCTGCCTCTGCTCAGTCAATTTTTTCTGTGGGAGCCACTGAGCCTCGTGAGCCCGCTGGTGTATGAGCTTTCTCACAGCCCCAAGTCCCTCGGGCTCTTAGGGTTGTGGATATGGGGACAGGCAGGGCAAGCCCCCAGCACCTGGGACAGCCAACATTAGCTCACATGCCTGACTCCAAAACCTTCTGTAGGGGCTCTGCTCAGGGTCACCCTACTCACTTTCTCCCTCCACATCTGTCCTGGAATCCAAAAATTAGAGAAACACAATGAGGTACCATTTCACATTTACTAGGATGGCTAAATTTTTTTAAAAGGGAAAATAACAAGTGTTGGAAAGGTGTGGAGAAATTGGAACCCTTGTGCATTGCTAGTAGAAATGTAAAACGGTGCAGCTGCTGTGGAAAATGCTTTTGGTGGTTCCTCAAAAGTTAAACCACATGACCTAGTAATACCTCTCCTAGGTATACATCCAAAACAATTAAAAGCAAGGTTCTCAAACAGGTATTTGCATACCTGTGTTCATAGCAGCATTATTTACAATAGCCAAAAGGTGGAAACAACTCAAGTATGTGTCAACAGATAAATGGATAAACAAAACGCAGCACATACCTGCAATGGAATATTACTCAGCCACGAAAAGGAATGAAATTCTGATACATGCTACAACATGGCTGGACCTTGAAAACATTATGCTAAGTGAAATAAACCAGATACAGAAGGACAAATATTGTATGATTCCACGTCTATGAGCTACGTGACATAGGCAAATTCAGAGACAGAAAACAAAACATAGGTTCCCAGGGGCTGGGAGGAGGGAGAAAGGGAGAAGTTATTGTTTAGTACAGAGTTTAGGTTAAGGATGATGATGACTTTTAGAGTATAGCTCGTGATGAAGGGTACACAGTATTGTGAATGTAAGTAATGCCCCTGAATTGTACCCTTAAAATGGCTAAAATGATAAATACTATGTCATGTATATTTTATTGCAATTGGAAAAAAGCTGTTTAAAATCTTGACAAGAACATTCCTAAGCCAGAGGAGGGTCAGCACTGAGGTCCCCAATGCACACCAAGTTCAACTCAGTCTCTTCTGCTTGAGAGCAGCCCCACTTGATGAGGCTGGGGAGGAGAGCCCAATGGACCTGGGGTCTAATGGGTTTTGCCTTGGTTTCCCCTCCTTTTGGAATTCCCAATCATCTCCTTGTCTTCTTAGCACCATGGCATTTACTGCTTTTCACCTTGACAGGAAGCACATCTTGACTATACTTTATATACTTAAGTCTCATTTAACCCTCATGACACCTTGTGATTTAAGGATTATCAACCCTTTTCTTTTAAATAAGGAAACTGAAATTCTGAAAGAACTGTTGTGCCAATGGTTACCCAGCTAGTAAGTGGCTGAGTGCCTGTCACCACTAGCGAGTACCTGTCACCAAGCCCCAATCTTCTCACCTGCCGCACCCCCATCTCCCTTCTGGTGTGGTTGGGGAGTTGATAAGATGCGCACTGCTCTGGGAGCTCTGTGGCTTAAGTCCGAGTCCAGGCTGTGCTACTGCGTGACCTAGGGCAAATCACTTCTCAGAGCCTTCATTTTCTCATCTGCAGGATGGCAAGGCCAGTCTGCCTGCCCCACCACTCCACCGAGGGGTTGTGAAGCCTCAAAGGACGAAATGTGCTTTATAAGTGGTACATGCTATACTGGGTTAGTCTAAGCTTGATTAGTCATCGATATGTGGCATCATCATTGGCCATCAGGAAAAACACTTTCTCCTCCGTCACACAGTTTACCCAGTTTACTGTTCCCTCCGTCCACCCGTAGGAGGCCAGCCACTGGCTAGTCTCAGGCGCCAAGGTTTTGCCTGGCTACAGGCTGGGGTTTTCTAGCAAACTGCTGGGAGAGAAAGCCAGCTCTAGGAATAAGGGAGCCTCTTGAGTTTACATAACTTTCTGAGCCCTGGACCAGAGTGAGAATGTGTTGATTCTGGCCGCTGATGGGCAGCCAGCTGGGGCAGAAGAGTTGGCTGGAAGCTTACAAACAACACACTGTTCCCGCAGGGAAGAGTGCGCTGCCTTTTGCTTTCTCTCCTCTTCTTGCTTTTCCCTTGTTAATGTCTTGACCTTTTAACTCCCTACCCGGTTCTGATAACAGACCCTCGAATCCAACTTAAGGATCCTTGCGCCTCACTGTCCCAATCAGTTTCTGTCTTGTTTATTCCACACCCAAAATCTTGAGCCCGTTGCCGCCTCTCATCTGTGCAGTCAGTGTTCTAGGTAAGTGTGCCGTTGCCTTTTACATGGACTCCTACAGCTGCCCGCTACTGCACTCCCTGCCTCTGGTGCAGGCCAGTCCGGCTACACAGGATGCTAGGGCTCCTTTATTGCAACGACGCCCCATTCTTGCCACTCAAGGCCTTTGGGCCCTGCCTCCTGCTGCCTCTCATATCACAGCCTCTCCTCCAGCCACACTCATCTATCAGTTCTCAGCCCGGCTTCCAAGCCTCCCGGGCTTGAGTATGCTGTCGCCTCCACCTGCAGTGCACTCCCCTCCTTTACCTCCACCTTGTGATGATGCTTCAAAGCTCAACTCTTGTAAAAGTTCCTCTGACCTGTTTCCAAAGGTTTGGTTGTCTGTCCCCTTCCCCTTTGAACAATGTGGTCACTGTTTCTATAACTGTCCCTCTAGACCATGGGTGGGGAACCTTTTTTCTGCCAAGGGGCCATTTGGATATTTATAACAGCATTCTTGGGTCATACAAAATTATCAACTTAAAGATTAGCTATGAAAAAAGCTCCTAGGTTTATTGAATTTCAGGTCTCCCCTGTGGTTACCTTGGCAGGACCAGACCAAATGATTTTGAGGGCCTTCTACGGCCCTCAGGCTGGATGTTCCCCACCCCTACTCGAGACCAGGAGCTAATTTAAAGGGCCTCGTTATGTGTTTAGCTCTGTCTCCAAAATCCATTGGAAGTTTGGGCACAGAATAGGTTCTCAGGTTCACTTAATCAGTAAACAAATGCTCGTACCAGCAGGTTTGAGAGAGGATAGCACCGAGAAGTCATGCCAGCTACTCCCATGCCTTTGTCTGAGTCGTCTCAAGCTCAAGATTCTCCCCCTCCCATTACATCAGTGTCTACCCCAAAATTTGCCTACCTCCTTTTTTTGATCCATTGATTCTAGAGAGGGGAATGGAGAGAGAGATTCGTTGTTCCACTTATTTATGCATTCCCTGGTTGATTCTTATGTGCCGTGAAGGTGGTTGCGGGGGGAACAAACCCACAAACCTTGGTGTATTGGGACAACGCTCTAACCAATTGAGCTGCCTGGGCAGGGTCACCTACCTTCTTTTTTCAGGAAGTTCTCCTTGGGCATTCTTCAGAGTGAGTGTGTGTGTGTGTGTGTGTGTGTGTGACAGAATGGCCTTTGGTTTGACCCAGCCATGCTCCTTCTGGCTCTGTAGCAGTCCTTCACTTAAAAGGTCCAGGGGTTGACCAGCTAGAGAGGCTCAGTTGGTTGAATGTCATCCTATGCACCAAAAGGCTGCCAGTTTGATTCCCAGTCAGGGCACATACCTGGGTTGAGGGCTCATTTCGCAGTCGGGACACATACAAAAGGCAACCAATTGATGTTTCTCTCTTCCTCTCTCTCCCTTCTCTAAGCATGTCCTCAGTGGGGGGTAATAAAAAATAATTATATTTTAAAAAGGTCAAGGAGTCTCCTTTATTCCGAGTTCATAGTGCTGATCTGTAGGCTCAAGGATGGTGTTATAGCCAGCACATGGTAGGTACTCATTAAATATATGTTGTGTGATATATGTTGTGTGTACATATGAACCTTTCCTTCTCTGCTGGGGTGTAGTGAAACATTCAGTAGACAAAGATGCTGCCAACTCCTAGCTGTGGCTGTGGGCAAGTCATTTCAGGTCTCTGAGCTTCAGTTTCTGTGCCTTTAAATTGGAGATAATGCCTATTATTTCATAAGGATACAAAGTATGAGGTGTGACTAGCACAATACCTAACACAAAGCTTGACAAATATTTCATTCATTCTCAGTCTCTATCCATCAAATCTGAAGACAACTTATTTCCCTGGTCATTCCTCTTGTGCTTTTAAGTCCAATATCTGGGACAAAATGACCTCTGCCCACATCCCATGCATTGTCCAGCAGGCAGCATGAAGAGGAAACAACCTGGGTTTGAATTCTGACACTGTCACTTCCGAGCTGTACGAATTTGGACCTACCTGTAAAAGGTACATAGCATCACTTACTTCATAGAGCTGCTGTGAGGATTAAATGAGATGTAAAATAAATTGGATGATCAAAATTTAATGACTATTTTGACTTGCCTGCTGAACAAAAGTGGCTGTGTCCCTGAAAACCATGAGTGTGACCATGCTGCCACCCTGTGGACAAACAGCACACAACCCCACAAAGGGAACCACCCTCCCCCCTCC